CAAGCAAAACCATAAGGCCTAGACCAACTGGAGTCTTCAGTACCCAATCCCTCCCTAAGAGTTGTTAAGGTGAAACTCCTGCATTGGTGGGTCTGAAAGGCAGATGTGCAAGTGAAACATTGTTCTTTCTCAAACCTTAAAATTTAAGACATATTGGGATATTTAACTTATTCTTCATTTCTATTTCTCCCTTTTGAAATGAAAATGTCTATCTTATGACTGTTCAACCATTATATTTTAGAAGCGTCTAACATGGTTGATTTCACCAGTTCACAATTGGAGAGCAATCTGCCTCAGGATAATTTTTTTACTTAAGTTTCTATTTATATATGACTTTGATATTTAGATAAACATAAACTTTAAAGTTTGATACTGGAATGACTTAAGGCTTTGGGTTTTAAGGATAGAATGAACGTGTTTTCCCTGTGAGAAGGAAATGAAGTTTGGAAAGCCAGAAAGAACTATTATAGTCTCAATATTTATGTTCCCCCCAAAAATCCTGTACACTACAACCTAGTCATAAATATGATAATATTTGGAAAGTGATGAGGTCTGTAGTACAGAGTCTTTATGAATGGTATTAGTGCCCTTATACAAAGAGGTACCAGAGATATGCCTTGTCCTTTTCACCATATAAAGATGTTGCAAGAATTCTCACCTGTGAACCACAAAACTGGATATCACTGTATGCCAAATTCACAGGTGCCTTGTCTTGAACCTCCCAGCTACCTGAGTTATGAGAAATAAACTTATTCTTTTTATAAGCCACCAAATTTATGATATTTGGTTTTAGCAGCACACATAGATTGCGAAGAATCAGGGGTTTCAGGGTAGACAGATGATGCAGAGAGTGAGTTCCACCAAGTAGGCAGAAGGAAATAGATTCAAAGCTCAAGGGCAGGGAGGAGACTAGTGAAATAGCAAGAGAACCATTTTTGCCTGAGCGGGGACCAGAAGAATGCATGGTACTGACCAAAAGTTGACAGATAGAAAAAAGAGACTAACGGTTTCCCTAGTACACAGAAGGTGAACCTGTTGGTTGAGAGTTAGAAACTGGCATAATCAGGTATAAGATGTGGTGAAAAGATCACTGCATGTGGCATGTTAAGGTCCTGGTTCAGATTTCTCAGCTTTGATGATTTTCTTACAGCAACACTAAGTCCTCTTTTAGGTACTAGACCAGGCTCATGTCTGCCATCTTAGAGGTTGTCATGGCAATATCAATCCCAGAACCCATCACATAGTAGGCATTCCAAAAATTATAGTTACATCTGAATCTTCATTGCCCTCCTCCTCACTATTTTAGCTTATTAAATTAGAAGTCAGTAATGAGCTGTTTCAAAGCTATCTGCCAACAGCCGTTGTAAGGATAAAAGGAAAAAGGAAAAAAAAACATAAAAAAACCTTTAGTAAGCTGAGAGTGTTATTCTCTGTAGAGAGGAAGGGCACTCTGACTTAATGCCCAGGGCCATTAATGAAGCCTGGCTCCTTTTTCTTGTCATTGCAGCCATTCAAAGGAAGTTCTTCTTGGCAAGGAAGTGCTATTTTCAGAGACAAGATTAGGCTCCTTTTGGGCAGGAGCAGTGCTTCTTCAGTCCCAACACCTCTGAAGATTAGGTTAAAAGGTAAGAAGGAATGACCCAGAATAATTGCATTGCTTTACTGTGAACTTTAAGATCTTTTAGTGAAGGAGTTTTACAAGCAGTGATAG